AATGTGTTTTTAAAAAACGTTCCAAAATTTAAAAAAAAAAAAAAAAAAAGCTTTGGCTGAAATAAATTCCTCCTTTTCTGGTCCTGAAGACTCCTCCCCAAAATCCGGGGACATGCAGGGTAGATTGACAATGTGTTTCTGAAAGGCAGCCCCACTTATACTCGCATAATCAGTGATCCTGTGTCTCTCCCCCAGTCATACCCCAGTGATCGCACCTAGCAACTGGCTTCTAGACCCACTACATGATCAACGAAAAGAGTTTGTAACGGGTTAGGCATCTGGAAGGAGGAGAGTTAAACATTTTAACTATGAATCAAAACCCTGAAAGCATCTTATTTGAATTAAAACAAACATTCCAAATGTACATAGAAACACAAACCTGTCCATTAATTCTTTCTTCTGGCAAAATTTCAGTCTTTATCTTTACCAGCTTTACAGCAATTGGCTTGCCAGTACGTCTGTCCGATGAAACCTCAAACTCCACATCATCTGTAGAGAAAGGAGACTTGACGGTCAGAATCACTCACCTTACAAACTTCAAACATAAAATCACATAACATGACTAGTTGCCATACATTTCCAGTCTTTCTGTAAGCCAAGTGAAAGTCAAACACTGCACAAATTGCATTTAAAGATCAGAGAGCACAACCTACATATGAATTAGTTGTAGTTTTATCCTCATATTAACCCCTTCATGACTGAGCTTGTTTTTGGTTTCTGTTCGTAAATGACTGACACACTTTTGACATTTTTGCTGTGTGATTCTTCCACGTCAGTAATATACTTTCTTACAAAGTGCACCCACACATATTATATATTGTTTTTTAGAGGACAGATAGGGCTATATATTTATATCACATATGTGTGTCTAACGCCTCACTTAGGACAAATACAAATTAAAAAAAGAGGAAAAAACGTAAAAAAAAACTTTTTTTCCCAGTTTTGATTTGTAGTATTTTTTTTTAACAAAACCAGCACAGCTAAAAAAAAATGCAATACATACATTCATTTATTTGTCCCTTATTTTTAATTTTTTTACACTTTTCACTATTTTTTTTAATTTATTTACACTTTTCACTTTTTTTATACTGACAAATTTTATTTATTTAATTATATCAGGCAGTCATTGTGAATTAATCTCACTATTACTGCTTGATAAATTAATACATTTTTTTTATTATCAGGCTGCTTCAAACTTCAGAACAGCCGATAATAAGTTAGTGACACTGATCCTGCAGCAGTTCAGGATTCAGCTGTCAGTGAATGTTTCAGAAAACTTAAACATTCTACTTTCAAGAATAGATACATTATGTGTCTAATACATAACATTTTGTATCTATTCTTGAAAGTCAAAAGATAAAAAAAAAAAGCCAGTATAGCTTGAGAGAGATATCTCTCGATCTATACGAGCTGTCAGAATGCCGCAAAAGCAGACATGTGTGTCTGCTTTGCTGTGACTCTCAGACACCCGATATTAAGGTATCGGGTGTCTGAAAAAGGTTAACCCTTTCAGTAATGGATCTCTAGATAGTTAGACATCTATTACTGAAAGGTAACCGCTGATTCTCAGCGGTTAGCAGCCTTCTAGTGCAGCAAATAACGCGTCACGTACAGTGTACGTGACGAGTCATTTGGTCCCTTTGTGGCTGGACGTACAGTGTACGTCTCCCGTCACGAAGGGGTTAATCATATATCCTATCCTGCAAGCTCAAGTCTGACATTAGTAGTCTCTCCACTTAATTAGGAATAAAAACTAAGCCTGGGAATCTACAGGGCATGTGTTAACTGGCCCAAGCAACAACTTAAACATATTAAAGCATGGCGGAATATGAACAGTCCAGAATCCGAACAGAAGAGAACTTGAATCTTGGTTCAGAGGATTAAAAAGAACTGAAATTTAAGGTAATTGTATAGACTTTGCCGTTTGCACAGTTGCAGCACCAAGTTGACCAAAGTCATGACATGTTTTCAAGTATTTAAACCCTGAACAAACAAAAAACCGAATAATCTATTGCAGCTTACCTGTCCTTGGATGAAGTGGCTGCATTAACCACTTGCTGACCAGGGTGATTACACCGCCTTCCTGCCCAGGCCATTTTTAAGTACTGCAGGACTTTGACATTTATTCCATCATGCAATGCTGTACTGAAATTAATTTTATACCATTTTTTGGGGACAGATAGAGCTTTCTTTTGGTGGTATTTAAAAATCACCACTGGAGGTTTTATTTTTTTTACTATAAAACGAAAAAAGTACCGGAAAAAAAAAAAAAAAAAACACCAAACATTTATTACCCAATTTTTTGGTAAAATATAAGACAGGGGTCACATTGGGTAAATAGAATAAAGGAATAATGTCACCAGCACACCAGTTTTTGTTAGTCAATGATCCATTTTAATGGCACATTGCCATCCAATACACAAGCGCTTTCGGGGCCGCAGGGGGTCCCCTTCATCAGGCTCAGAATGTTGACATTGGATTGCAGTAAGGCACACATTACAGTATTGTTTTGTTAAAAAATCTGAGGGTTTAAGGTCACTATTAACAAAAATTTAGCTTAATTGTGTATCACTCACCTGTAGATCCTCAAATCTGTGAATTGGTGCAGACACTGTCCTTCCTTCTGGATGGTGGCTACTTTTGTTTCTCATGGTCCCTGTGTGTGTTGTAAAGTAGCCACCGCTCCAAGCTCACTACTATGGACTACAATCCCATGTTTAGTTTACTCATTTGTTTGAAATAATAGTCCATCATGGGAACGAGCTTGGCGCGGTGACTACTTTACAACATACAGGAACTATGGTGAACAAAAGTAGTCAACCCCGAAAGGAAGGACAGTGTCAACGCCAATTCAGAGATGATTTGAGGATCTACAGCTGAGTGATACACAAATAAGATACATTAATAGCTAGGGTACTTGAATACATTAAGATTTAACTCCCGAGTTAATGTAATTTTAATGCCGTTTGTGCAACAAAATCAGCATTGGTGTACATGTTTGAGTGAGGAATAGCTCTCTCTGTGGGTTGAGTGAGGAAAGCCAGCCGGCAGCTTCCTGGATCTGAGCGGGCATATTTAAATGTCCCGCCAGCCACGTCCACTCGCGCACGGGAACCTGCCAAAATTGCAGCGATGCTCGTTTACATACAAAAAATCTGCCGACTCTCGCTTGTATAACTTGCCGTTCTGTGCGACCGCCCCCCTCCCGCTGGTCCCGAGCTCCGCTGTGCGCCCTGGACCAGCATGGTGGCTTTGTGACAGGGGATCAGAGGGAGATCGGTAAACAATCGCCTTCCGATCCCTTCTCCAGTGTCAGAATGTGGAAGTGATGTATTTTACATAATTTCCGCGTTCTGTTGTCACTCTCTAGCTTCAGATACCGGAGAGATATCTCTGCTTCATCAGCTTCTTTGGGGGTCCCTAGGTGACATTGGGGGTCTTGGAGACCCGTCACATCCAATTCATTATCACATAGGGTGCGCGCAATTTAAAGCTTTACATGTTTGGTGTCTATTTACCCGACGTCTTTTATATTTTACAAAAAAATAAGGTAATAAATTGTATAACAATGTAAAAAATTCTAAATTTCAGTAAAAAAATAAAACCCCCAGTGGTGATTAAATACCACCACAAGAAAGCTCTGTCCCCCCAAAAAAAAATGGTACAAAATTCATTTCAGTACAGTGTTGTATGACAGAATAAATGTCAAAGTACTGCAGCGGTGAATATTGAAAATGGCCTGGCCAGGAAGGGGGTGTAAACACCTGGTCTTCAAGTGGTTAAAGATTGGTCCGGCAGATGGCCAGAACGCACTGGATCACATTGCGGCCGGCTCACTTTGTTATGGGGAGGGAGGGGGCGTGACGGTGCAGTGAAGCGCAGCCACGCCCTACGGCCGCAATGTGAACTGCCAAACGGGAACACACATCAATGCCTGCTGCCCGGTCAGAAAAAAAATGCTGCAAGCACTTTTTTTTTCTGACTGGAATGCAAGTATTGAAGTGCCACGCGTTGCCATGAGGCCAATCGCATTGCTGCGATGCCATTCACCTCAATGCATCGCCACACCTCCTGCTGCCCCACAACAAAGTGAGCTGGCAGCAATGTAATCCAGTGCATTCCGGCCAGAACGCACTGTGGCTGATGTGAACTAGTGGAGACCCTGTTAGGTTGCTGTGTTTTTCACACCCTCAGTTAGACTGCTTTTTGAGGTGAAAGACCACTTGTGCCCCTCAAGCCTCAATGGACAAGAAAGATAATTCTTTACGTGCCAAAATCCTTAATGAGCTAAAAGAAAAGGATTTTGTCACATAAAAAATATTATCTTTCTTGTCCATTGAGGCTTGAGGGGCACGAGTGGTCTTTTTACCTCAAAAAGCAGTCTGAGGGTGTAAAACACAGCAACCTAATAGGGCAAAACGAAAAAAAAAAAAAACACACACCACACAACTGGCGACAGCCTGCAGCTCAAAGGGTCGACTGAAGGACCTTGCGCACAAAGCTGGCATCAGATTCAAACTGAACACGCACCTGGTAGACCCCAGGGAACATGTGAATATGTGAGACTTGGAAATCTGAGCCCACTGACTACTAGATCTGCGAGTGCTTCTAAGGCTTGTTAAGTGCGCCTTGGCAAGGAAAGGGCCTACCCACAGACTGAGTCAGAGACAGGGTGAAAGCTGAGGCAATACCAAAACAGTTTTAGACTTGAAAAGGTGCTCTGTGGATAACTTGTTACTAGAGCAAAAAGCCTGGAAAGTGCCTCTCATGGAACCAAAAGCTCACATGCAGGCCAGCCCAGCTATGTCCAGTCACACCACTCCAACAGCTAAGCTGAGGACAAGCCATGCCGGACAGCTGCATTCATACAAACTAGCAAAGGCTTGATGAAATGTGAATGTTACATAGTATTTGAGGTTGAATAAAGACAGGTCCATAAAGTTCAACCTTTGTGTGTCTGTGGGCATCTGTGCGTGCTTGTGTGTATACACGAGTCCCTGTGTGGTCTTAGTTTTTAAGAGTACCTGTACCCCTGTAGGTTATGGTCTCTTAGGACGGTATCTAATTGATTTTTGAATGATTCAATAGTCTCTGCTGATACCACTGCTGGTGGCAGAGAGTCCCAAAGTTTAACCACTGACTGAAAAGAAGCCCCTACGCCCTTTCTGATGAAATCTTTTCTTCACCAATTTTAAGTGGTGGCCTCTAGTCTTTTTCTAAAGGGAGTTTACAGTAAAAAGTTTATTGCCGACGCCTTCTCCACTAAACATTTTGCACATAAAAATCATGTCCCCCTTAACCACTTGAAGACCAGGTGTTTAGACCCCTTCCTGGCCAGGCCATTTTTCAGTATTCAGCGCTGCGGTACTTTGACATTTATTCCGTCATGAAATTAATTTTATACAATTGTTTGGGGTGGGGACAGATAGAGCTTTCTTTTGGTGGTATTTAATCACCACTGGGGTTTTTATTTTTTATTTTACTATATTAAAGGAAAAATTATTGAAAATTTTGGAAAAAAAAAAAGTTTTCCATTATATTAGGAAACAATGATTATCCATATTTCTGGTAAAATATAAAAGATAGGGGTCACGTCGGGTAAATAGCCACCAAACATGTCAAGCTTTACAATTGCGCGCACCCGCGAAAATCGCAAAAAACTACCATACCCAAAATTGACAATAGGTGGCGCTCATCAGTTTAGTGTTATCAGTGATTGATGGCCCTAAAATTATTACGACATTTGCGAAGATATGTAACATGTGTGGCGTAATGGGCGCAAACTTTATTTTTGTTTTTTACTTTATTGCCATCACATAGGGGGCTAAGAAAACCCCCCTATGTGATAGCAAAAGATGTGACAGGTCCTCTTTATGGAGACATCAGGGGTCTCCAAGACCCCTAATGTCACCTAGGACCCCCCTGATGAAGCAGAGATCTGCTTCATCAGCTTCTCTCCAGCATCTGAACCTGGAGAGTGACAAAAGAATGCGGTAGTGATGTAATATACATCAGTTCCGCATTCTGACAGCGGAGAGGGGACCGCTTTTATACTAACAGGCATTGCAGTCCGTTTTCAAATATCGGGCATTTCCTGCGCGTGTGAGGGGGTGGCTGAGCGGATGTCTAAAGACGCCCACTCAAATCTAGAGAGCTCCTGGCCGGCCGTTTTTTTACAACGGCCGGCAACTGGTTAATCTTCTCACTTCCAACGTGAACAAATTTAGCAACCTGTCAAACTCTCATAAGCCTTGATCCTCCAGCACCTTAATTAGTTCCGTTGCCCTCCTCTGGACTCTCTCTCTAGCTAAAGGACATCGTTTCTGTGGACTGGTGACCAAAATTAAAGCACATACTCAAGATGTGGCCGAACCAGTGATCTACAAAGTGGCAAAATGATAGCGGTCTCAACAGTACATTCCCTTTTAGTAGACGACAGTACTCTGCAAGCTTTGTTTGCCACAGCCTGGCATTGCATGCTGTTATTCAATCTGTGGTCAGTCTACTATGAACCCCCACCCCCCCCCGTTTCTAACTTACCTAGTAGAGTACCCGTTAATGTGTATTCCGTTTGCCTATTTTTGACCTCAAAATGTAGTACTTACATTAAACCTAGTCTGTTATATAGTTGCCCACTCCCCTATTGTATTCAGGTCCTCCTGTAATGTTATATTATACATGCTAGCAAAAAATAGGTCTAAACAGCAAAGCTGAAAGACATTTATCCTCCTAAGATACTACTAAAAAAGCTGAGGCATGCTGTTCGTAAGAGGAGATTTCCTTGGCTAGCCTACAGTTTGCTCAGTGTGTCAGTGTCCAATACCTCTGTAGACAGCAGTATAACAAAGACAAAAGACTTCCTGTGTCCCTCACTGGACAAAAAACAAAATACTAACTGCTCCGGTCTATAAGGGTTGAACAGGTGCAAGAAAAAAAAAAAAGGGTCAACCAAACTGAACTTCAATTCTCCCATGCCTAGACATTTAGACCCACAGCCATCTACGTTACCAACCGACCCTCATTATAACCCCTCCTTCTGCATAAAATCGTTTTTTTGCTAGTGTTCTTATGTGATGGAGGACACCTCTCCTGTTTA